CCAGTGAGAATGGCGAAAATTAACAAGACAGGAAATGACAGGCATTGGCAAGGAAGCAGAGAAAGGGGAGTTCCATTACACTATTGGTGGGAATGCAAGCTGATGCAGCCACCCCAGAAAATAGGGTGGAGGTTTCCAAAAGGTTAAAAATACAGCTACCCTAGGACCCAGTACTTACATAACTAGATATTTACCCAAATGATAGAAACACGGGAATTGGAAAGGGCACCTGCACTCCAATATTCATAGCAGCAATGTCCATAATAGCCAAACTGTGGAATGAGCCCGGATGTTTATCAATGGAAATGGATAAAGAAGAGGTGGTCTGTATATACAATAGAATATTACTTGGGCTTCAAGGGACGAAATCTTGCCATTGCAACAATGTGGATGGAACTCTAGGGTACTAGGCTGAATGAAATAAGTCAATCAGAGAAAGTCAAATACTATATGACTTTACTTACATGTGGAATTTAAGAAACAAAACAGATGAACATAGAATGGAAGAAAAAATAAAATAAGATGAACATAGAGAGGGAGGCAAACCATAAGAGATGCTGAATTCTAGGAAACACACTGAAGGTCACTGGAGGGGAGGTGGGTGAGGGGATGGGGTCATTGGGTGATGGGCAGGAAGGAGGACACGTGATGGGATGAGCACTGGGCATTACATGCAATTGATGACTCACTGACCTCTACCTCTGAAACGAATAATACACTATATGTTAATTGAATTTAAATTAAAAAAATTAAATTAAAAAAATCCATGGTCCATAAAAATAATTTGGATTTCTTGAAAAACGTCTGCTCCCAGGACTGGGGCTGGGCAAGAAGCAGATGAGCCAGGAACATCCTGTTGGGCCAGGAATTATGGATTGATAGCGATATTGTAAAAAAAAAAAAAAAAAACTCCATAGGCCAGTGTCAAGGGTCTCTGGCTGGAAAAATTTGGACAACTTGAAAACCAAAATATATGAGTAGTGGATTAAAAGTCAGTGAATAAAACTGGAACCATGAAGTCCTCCATGATGCCAATGCATGAAGGATGCATGAATGAATAAACGCAAGGAGAATTCTCTTGCTTCCAGTGGAATGCCATCATCAGCCAAGAACAAGCAATCAAAAATAGAACAATTACATAGCCTGAAAGCATCTCCTCCAAACATGCTCTTCTCATCAATGCATGCTATCCTGAAAGTTTTCAGAGATATGGGCTATTTACATGCTCTCAAGTCATCCTGCCGATGTATACTATTTAAAAATATTTTATTTTATTTATTTGGGAGATGAAATGAACACGAGCACGCGAGCAGGGGGGAGGGAGAGGGACAAGCAGACTCCCCGCTGCTCAGGGAGCCCTATTCATGGCTCTGATCCCATGACTCTGAGACCATGTCCTGAGCCAAAGGCAGATGCTCAAAGTATCCTTTTAGATGACAAATTAAAAACCAATCTAATTTGTTGAGCAAACACAACTCCCATTTAGAAACCACTTCCAAATGTGACAGTCATTCATATCATGCTGCATTCATGTCCCTCCAGTGTCACCCAACCCATGGTAGGTACACACAAGCCTGTCCTACAGATGACTAAGCTGAGGCTCAGAGGACCAGGGGTGAGCAGGGCTTGGAGCCAGAGGGTCTTGTGGCCCCCAGAGGAACACTTCAGCTGCTGGTGGGTATTGTCTTCTGTCAATCTGCGCCCCCATACTATGGGATCAGGGGATGGGGTGCAGGGGGCTGAGTCAGTCCAAGAGCTATGGCAGTGGGGGGAAAGAGAGCCCACAGGAGCCAGGAGGTGGGTATGACCTGGGGCACGGTGCAGGGAGCACACCCAGGGGTCAAAAGGGGATGCTAGGAAATGCTGAGTCACATGGAAACACAGGCTCAGGGGACTCACCTGGCTCAGGGCATCAGCCTTGGGGGCCTGGCTCCAAGGGGGCAGCTCCCAGCCTCGAAGAGGCTCCATGTCCCCCTTCAGGACCCCTCATTCCCCAGCCGCTGTCTCAGGACTCCTGACAGCAGGTCAAGCTTGCACTCAGCCCAGGACCTGACTTCTCTAAATGGAAAGGGAAAGAGAAAGTGTCCGTGGACCAATGAGGAGGCTTATTATTCTAGAACATGTCCTCAGCTCAGTCTCCAAAATAAACTGCCTTTGCTGTGGCCCAGCTGCGCTGCCTGGGGCCAGGAGCCCACAGTGGCAGAGGGGAGAGGGCTGCAGGGCTGGCTGTGCAGAGGGCAGGAGGTGACCAGATGCAGAAGTGCAAGGCAAGGGGAGGGGGATGCAGAGGCAGGAGGTGGGACCTCAGTGGGGGTGGGGGTGGGAGTGGGGGGCACAGTTCCTCCTGCCTCACTGAGGGAGCCCACAGTGCTGGCTGCACAAGTTCTCCTGGCCTCTCCCCTGTCCCTCAGCACCCTCCACCCCAAGGTTCCTGTAGAGCTGGTCGCCCAGCCCAGATTGACCTGGAGCCCCTTCCCTGTCCTGACCTTGGCACCAGTACCCTGGGGTCACTACCTAATCCCATTGCCAGGGGACACTGAGGGGGACAGCCCAGGTGCCAAGGAAGGACACAGGCAGGGGTGAAGTTCCGGGAAAGGAGTGGGGACTGCCCCCAGACCTGTGGGCCAAAGCCTCCCAGGGCTCAGAAGCGAGGTCCACCCCTGACCACTGTCCCCCAGGATGACCAGCCCAGCCTCCCAGGCAGGGAGGGGGCAGGTGGGACCCAGGGCTTTGGGAGCCCCCACGAGGCCCCCGCAAGCCCCGGGGATGCCCCCACCCTGCACGGGCACCACGGTGTGCCCTACTTGGCATGAGCAACACAAAGGACTGCTGGCCCTTTCTCATTCCACACGGTCACTGGAAACCATTTTACAGAGAAATCACTGAACGGGGGAGTCCAGCGGTGGTTGTGCGGCCACGTTGCCATAATGGACACTCCCGGGCCTGAGATGTGCCTCAGGCCCCACCGGCTCATTCATCCAGCAGCACTTCCGGGGGGCAGCTCTATGTCACCTGCAGGTCCTGCCAGGACCCTCCAGGGTACCTTCCCTTTGCTGTGTGGCTTGGGGGCCCGCCAGGCTGGGGGGGGGCTGCTCCCCTCCCATCTCTGTCCCTCACCCTCAGGCCACGGACGTCCCCAGAGTACTTTCTGGGAGCTGGAGCCAGGCAGGGAAGGAAGGGGTGACACCCCGTGTCCCCATGGGAACAGGCTGTAACCGTCCCATCTCCGGGGTGCTTGCTGTGGGCCAGCCGAGCCTCGGGGCTCCAGGGGCGGGGAAGAGAGAGGTTAGGTGGCCCGTCCAGGGCCACTGGGGACACGGCTGCTCCGCGGCTGCACCGTGCTCGAAGCCCCCAGCCTGGCTCCGGGTTGGGCCTCCAGGGTGTCCCAGTCACTGCTGCAGAGTGGGGCAGGGGGTGTGCAGGACGGTCAGGTTGTCCGCTCGGGGGCCCTGGGTGGAACTAGCTGAGCCAGGGCGACCCTGGAGATGGTCTGCAGCTGCCCCTCCTGGCTCCAAGAGGCCAGAGGACGTGCCTGATGCTTGTCAGCCCGCGAGCCGAGGCTGCCCCGTGCCCGCTGGGACGGAGGAGTCCCCGTGAGCGCCTGCAGTCCTGAAACAATGAGCAGCATCCGGGAACGAGGCATGCAGGGGGCCGCTGTCTGGTGTGACTCTGACCTGGACTGGGCCTGTGTGTGAGACCCTGCCTGTGCCGTGGGCATGGTGGTGCCACCGAGGGGGAGAGGCTGGGACTCGGGGGACTGGGGGTGAGGCCCCGGGGCCGGGGCTGCTGTCCATCTCTGCTGGTCTCCTTCCTGCCTTCCAGATCAGGATATGAATGCTTTGTGACAGGAGGGGGGTGAGGCTAGGCTCCTGTGCTGCTGTCTGGAGCTCCAGCCACCACTGTCCTTCAACCTCCCAGACCTGTAAGAAGGGAGCAGGACCACTCTGGGTGCCGTCCTCCCCTTGTACCAGGTGTCCCGTGACATACTGGGCAGTGTCAGTGGTGGTCGGGGGGGGGCACTCTCTCCAAACTCGTTGTGGCGGGGGGCAGGGGCAGGTCCCCCAGTGGTCTATGGACCCTGGGCAGCGAGGTTGAGAGCAGATGCACAGACGTGGTGGTGAGCGTGGGGTGGGGGGTGAGGGTGTCCCCTCAGATGACTGTTTCCTGAGTCAAGTCTTGGCTTCGTCCCCCGCCCATTCTCAGGCCTTCATCCTAGCTCCAGGTAATGGCAGGTGCGACAGGGCTGTGGTCAGCAATAACAAGACAACGTCTGGAGGCACGTGGCAAAATGCTCTTATTTCTTTTGGGTCCATGATGCCCAAAGATGGGGGCTTAAGAGAAGGTATTTCGCTCGCAAGAAATTGTCAGTATTTTATGATTAAGGCCAAGGCGCATATGTAATTTGAAAAAGGATGCATTCGTAGGGATTTTAAAGCTGAAGTAAGAGCAGGGGTCAAGGCTAAGCTCTGCTAAGGCCTGGTGCTCCTCAGCCTGTAGGGCGGCCGCGGGTGGGGGCGGGGGCAGAGCCGCGATCCCGCGCTCACTCGCCAACCTTCACTCTGCCCCGCAAAGCGCGCACCACCCGGCCCCTGCACCCCGGCCCCCAGCCCCACGCCCTCTGCCCCGGGCCCCCTGCACCCCGACTCCCGACCCCTCGCCACCGCCCCCTGCACCCAGACCCCCGGGCCCGGCCCCTGCACCCCGGTCTCCGGCCCCGCCCACTGCACCCCGGCCCCGGGCCCGGCCCCTGCACCCTACCCGTTGTTCTGCTCGGCACCTGCACCCCCACGCGGGGCAGCTCTGTGCGCAGGCGCACACGTGCCTCCAGCACCAGCGCAGTGATGTCATCCTGATGTCATCCGCGGATGTGCTTATGCAAAACAGGTGCGAGGCGCGGGCCGGGTCGCCGCCCTGGTAGGGGCGGTCCGGGGCGGGGCCGGCACCGAGGCCCGCCTAGGGTGGCAGGGGCGGGGTGGGGCGGGCGAGCAGGGCCGGGAGCCGGGAGCGGGAGCCTGGAGGCAGGAGGACATGAGCACTGTGGACCTTGCCCGCGTGGGCGCGTGTGTCCTGAAGCACGCGGTGACCGGCGAGGTGAGGCCGACCAGCGCAGGACGGTGGGTGGGCTCCTGCACCTGCCCGTGCACCCTGGCGTTGGCATCCCCGGCCGGCCTGGGTGGGGGGGGTGCCCGGGAGGGTGGTGGCGCTGGGGGCCGCACAGCCCCGGGCGCGGACCGGCGTGGGCGGTGGTCCAGGGCGCCCCTCCGCACCCCGTGCAGGCCGTGGAGCTGCGGACTCTGTGGCTGGAACAGGCGTGCGTGGTGGCCGGCCTGCGGCGCTTCGGCTGCTCAGTGTGTCGCTGGATCGCCCGGGACCTCAGCAGCCTCAGGGGGCTCCTGGACCAGCACGGCGTGCGCCTGGTGGGCGTGGGCCCCGAGGTCCTGGGCCTGCAGGAGTTCCTGGACGGTGGCTACTTCGCAGGAGGTGCCCGGCGTCCCCCCTCTCCTCTCACTGTAACCCGCCAGCCACCCTGAGACCCTGGGCCAAGCTGGGCGCATCCACCATCCCCTCCTTGCCCCACCCTGACCCTTCCCTCTCTGGATCTCCAGTCATCTCTCCTGGGGTCTCCACCTGTTGCCCTCAGTGCATTCTGCCAGCCAGGATGTCGCTCCCATGTGCAGGTGGCAGGACCCAGGGGTGATGCTGGCCTCCCATCAGCACCACAGGTCTTGCCCAGGGGCCTGGAGGAGTAGCTGGGACAAGATTGCAACTTGCCCCCACACTCCCACTGTGCTAGCCCCTCTCCCCGGTACCCAGAAGAGGCCCTCACAGACCCCTGGGCCCAGTGGCAGAGTCCAGGGGAGTCCCACTGCTCCCTTTCCCTGTTACCTCTGGGCCTCCATCCCCCCAACAGTGGGCACACTCTGTTCTCTCCTCCTTGTCCTGTGGGGTGGCAAACAAGGGGAGACGGGGCTGGATGCAGGAGGGGGGGCCAGGGGAGGATGGGCCTGAGGACACACTCATGGCCTTTGCTTCCTAGAGCTTTACCTGGATGAGAGCAAGCAGTTCTACAGGGAGCTGGGCTTCAAGCGGTGAGCGTGGGGGCGTCTGCTGCTTCTTCCTCCTGTCCCTGCTGCCTCTTCCTGGGCACAGGCTCTGCCCGTATCCACTGCCCAGCCATCCCTTTGCAGGGCTCTCTCCCAGGTGCTGTCTGTTACGACTGTGGGTTAGCCTTCTCGCCCAAGACCTACCCCCAGCAGGCTGTGGAGGGGCCCGGAGCCTAGTGCCCCAGTCACGGGCCATAGCGCCCCATCTGGAGCCTGTATGGTACATCGGCTTGCTGCCTGGCCTGAGTAAGGTGCCAGCTGAGCCAAATCCCTGGCTCACCCAGCCTGGGGTCCAGTCCACACACCCCAAATCTTCTGTGGGGCCCAGGTCTACTGGAGCCCAAACTGGAGCCAGGCTGGGAGCTTCGAGCACGGCGCAGCCGCAGAGCAGCCGTGTCCCCAGTGGCCCTGGATGGGCCACCTAACCTCTCTCTTCCCTGCCCCTGGAGCCCCGAGGCTCGGCCTGCCCACAGCAAGCACCCCGTAGACAGGACAGTTACAGCCTGTTCCCATGTGGACATGGGGTGTCACCCCTTCCTTCCCTGCCTGGCTCCAGCTTCCAGAAAGTACTCTGGGGACGTCCGTGGCCTGAGGGTGAGGGACAGAGATGGGAGGGGAGCAGCCCCCCCCCCAGCCTGGCGGGCCCCCAGGCCACACAGTAGAGGGAAGGTCCCCTGGAGGGTCCCGGCAGGACCTGCAGGTGACATAGAGCTGCCCCCCGGAAGTGCTGCTGGATGAATGAGCCGGTGGGGCCTGAGGCACATCTCAGGCCCGGGAGTGTCCATTATAGCAACGTGGCCGCACAACCACCGCTGGACTCCCCCGTTCAGTGATTTCTCTGTAAAATGGTTTCCAGTGACCGTGTGGAATGAGAAAGGGCCAGCAGTCCTTTGTGTTGCTCATGCCAAGTAGGGCACACCGTGGTGCCCGTGCAGGGTGGGGGCATCCCCGGGGCTTGCGGGGGCCTCGTGGGGGCTCCCAAGGCCCTGGGTCCCACCTGCCCCCTCCCTGCCTGGGAGGCTGGGCTGGTCGTCCTGGGGGACAGTGGTCAGGGGTGGACCTCGCTTCTGAGCCCTGGGAGGCTTTGGCCCACAGGTCTGGGGGCAGTCCCCACTTCAGCCCCAGGACTTCATCCCTGCCTGCATCCTTCCCTGGCACCCGGGCTGTCCCCCTCAGTGTCCCCTGGCAATGGGATTAGGTAGTGACCCCAGGGTACTGGTGCCAAGGTCAGGACAGGGAAGGGGCTCCAGGTCAACCTGGGCTGGGCAACCAGCTCTACAGGAACCTCGGGTGGGGGGTGCTGAGGGACAGGGGAGAGGCCAGGAGAACTTGCTCAGCCAGCACTGTGGGCTCCCTCAGTGAGGCAGGAGGAACTGTGCCCCCCACTCCCACCCCCACCCCCACTGAGGTCCCACCTCCTGCCTCTGCATCCCCCTCCCCTTGCCTTGCACTTCTGCATCTGGTTACCTCCTGCCCTCTGCACAGCCTGCCCTGCAGCCCTCTCCCCACAGCCAGTGTCGGCTCCTGGCCCCAGGCAGGGCAGCTGGGCCACAGCAAAGGCAGTTTATTTTGGAGACTGAGCTGAGGACAAGCTCTAGAACAATAAGCCTCCTCATTGAGCCATGGACAGTTTCTTTCCCTTTCCATTTAGAGAAGTCAGGTCCTGGGCTGAGTGCAAGCTCAACCTGCTGGCAGGGGTCCAGTGCACATTCCCCAGTCCTCTGCTGGGGAGAAGTTGCTGGCTGGGCTGGGCTGGTTGCTGGCTTGGTTGCCTGGTGGCCTCTGAGTCCCTGCTGAGAGGAGGCAAAGCCTGCTTGTGTGGACTGCTCTGCACATCCTGTGGAGGCTGGGAGCAGGCGAAGGGGCTATGTCTTCACAGAAAAGCCAGAGCCTGGCCAAGACAGCTGTGTCTTCGCAGGTACAACAGCTTGAGCATCTTGCCGGCTGCCCTGGGAAAGCCTGTGCGCGATGTGGCCCTCAAGGTTGGTGATGGCCAACGCTGGGTGAGACCTGGGGCAGGGGTGGGGGCGGTGGGCTTCTCTCTAGGGTTGACCTGGACCTGCCTTCTTCCCTCTAGGCCAAAGCTGTTGGCATCCACGGGAACCTGTCTGGGGACCTGCTGCAGAGTGGGGGGCTACTGGTGGTTACCAAAGGTGGGCTGGGGAAGGGACATCAGGGGCCAGTGCCTGGTTGCTTGGGGTGCCAAGGTCACATCCGCAGGTGGGGAGGTCTTGCTGAACTTGGTGGTGTGCTCTGACCCTCTCCTCCTCAAGTGATTTGTTGGTCTTTCAAGTCTTCTCTGTGGGGTGGCCCAGTTCTTGGTGTTGGCTTAGCTGGGTGGGGTCACTGGTCTGAGTAGTCAGGTGGAGTCATAGACCACCAGGGCTGTCCCCCTCCTCCCAGCATGCAGGGGTACCCTAACCACCTCCCCGCTGCTGTAGGTGGTGACAAAGTGTTGCTACACTTCGTCCAGAAGTCGCCAGGCGACTATGTCCCTCGGGAGAGCATCTTGCAGGCCCTGGGCATCTCAGCGGAAGGCTGTGCCAGTGAGTTGCCCCAGGTGAGCTTGGGCCTGGGGAGGACACTGCCTGCTAAGAACTGCCCACTGGGCACACCCCACCTCCCTGGGCTGAGTGCTAGGGGTGGACGGGTGTCAGGCTGGACCTTGCAGGCGTTAGGGGATTTTTGTGTTCATGGCAGCCCAGGATGTCACTGTCATCCCAGTGTATAGAGGGACAATGGGCTGAGAGCCGTGGGGAACCGGGGCAGGGTGGCTAGTTGGGTTGGCACAGCAGGGCCCTCCTCAGAGGGCAGAAGGGCCACCTGTCCTCTCAGCCTTGGGAGGGCCAGCATGACCAGGTGACCAGAGCTAGCATTGGTGTGGTCATGGTGCTGCCCTCCTGTGACTGAATGGAGGGTAGTGTCCAGCATTTGGGACCCAGGCCTCTGGTGGGTGGGAGCAGCTGCCCTTGAGTGTGGCCGGCCTGATGGGGCCTCTGCACAGTGTGATGGACAGGTGTGCACAAGGTGAGCCCCCTGAGGTGTCTGAGGATCTGGAAGGCATCTGCTGCCCCAGGCCTGCTGGGAGTTGGCTGTGAAGAATCTCTCCGGAATCTCTGGACTGGAGCATGAAGCTCTGCTGAGTCCCGGGGTGGCACTGAGCATTAAACTATGTTTCTTCATTGGCTCTGAGTTCTGTGTCTTCGGCCACCCCATCTCTGTTACTGTTGTTTTCCCCCTGACCAGCTGGGCAGTTAGGGGTCTGCAGGCTGCCCTGGGGGGGGGGGGTAGGGGAGTGCTGGAAATGTGCCTGCCACCTCCCTGGTGACCTCAGGCCTGTGGCACAGGAGTCAGGGGTCTGAGGGTGGGATTGGGAACTCCCCAGGTGATAGCCCAGCATGGAAGGGTCAGGCTCAGTGCTCCTGTCCACTGGGCTTCCAGGGAGGAGATGGTCTCCATCCAGCTGCTGGAGCAAGGTAGACAGTGGGACTCGGGGAGAGGAAGGACCTTCACAGAGGACATTTGTCATTTGTACTCTGCTGGCGGTGGTGACTGGCCCCAGGAGTCTTGGCCCAGCTGGTTCATCCAGCTGCCCTAGTACTGTTCCTTGGGGGTGCAGCAAGGATGTGGAACCTAATGTGTCCAGAGTGGAAACCTGCCCCACCCCTCATCAGGGGCTCCCCAGTCTGGGTGGGTTCAGATGACTGTTGCAGCACCTCCCCTGTCTCCCCCCTCTCCCATCTGGGCTGGTGACCACAGCGGCCTCCTAGCTGGCCCCCCAGCTTCCTCCCTGCATTCAGTCCTTCCTTCAGGGGTCATTTAAAAACTCAGGGCAGGTGACAATGTCCCTTTGCAGTTTAACTCCTCCCCTGGCCCCAGTTACGTAAAACCCAAAGTCTAAATTCTGAGCTATGGCTCCCTAGTCCCCTTGGCCCACCTCACCACCTCAGCCAGCTCCTGAGTCAGTGGCCCCTCCTCTCACCTGAATGGGTGGTCCCAGAGGACCAGTATCTGGGGGCATCCTGGTCACTGCAGTGCCCCCAGCACTGAGACCCTGGAGTCATGCATCAAGAGTGGACCTCCCTCTACAGAGTGCCCTGCTGTTTCCCCACCTGGCTGCTGTTTTGCCCAAGGCCACCAGCAGCCAGTGGGCAGAGCCAGCGCTGACTGCCCTGGGCACGGCCACCCCCTGCCCCTGGGGCCCCTCCTAAACAGACAAGGCCACTGACTTCTTTGAAGCGTTTACTTAGCTCAAGTCTGAAGCTTGTGGACAGCTGACAAGGACACTTTGGAGAGTGGGTGCAGACAGTTAAACATGTCTACAGGGCTGGGGCGCCAAGGGCACCAGGTGGCCCCGCTCAACCGGGGTGCCGCGGCTGCACTCCAGGCGGTGCGGGGTGGGATGCGTGCTGGCCTGGCCCGCTGCTCCAGCTGCACGCAGAAGGGACGCCTGGCCTCCTGCGGCCGGTGCGCGTGGACCATGGCAGAGTGGCTTGCCCGTGGCTACCAGACGCGGCATCGCTGGTGCGGGTGCATTGGGCTGCCCTGGGCACAGTGGAAGGCCTCCGAGAAGGCCGCCAGGTTCTGCAGCGAGCCCAGCACCCTGCGGGTGACCGGGACCCTGAGTCAGCTTGCTGGGCATGGGGTGGGGTAGGGGCTTGCCCATGGGGAGGCAGGGGCCACTTGCCTGTATTTCAGGGGGCTATGGACGTCAGTCTTGATGGACTGTATGGCAAACTCAGGCCGGTAGGACCCACACCACACCTGTGGGCACACGAGGAGCATGGCTGCAGGACTGGGGGAGGGGCGGGCCTAGGGAATGGGACAGAGGAATAAGGGGGGCCCGGAGGGGACCCAGGTAGGGGTGGGGTGGCCCTGGGGTGGCAGGGACGGGTGTGTGGTCTCATTTCTTTCTAGGCACAAGGGAGTCAGGTCTGTCCCAGGCTGCCCCTTCTCGGGCAGGGGAGGCAGGCTCCAGCTCCAGCTGAACCCTCCCCTGACTCCGTTCCCACCCCCTGCCATCCTTTCTCTCTAGGAAGCTTTCCAGGCCAGTAAGTTCTGGTTTGCACACTGGAGGCTCCAGGGACGTGAGTAGAGGCAGGTGGGGTGGGACCTCTGGCTCCTACCTGGGCATAGTTGATAAAGAACAGCTGGTTGTAGGTCAGTCCCAGCCCTGGCAGCTGCTGGTCCTTGCCGCCTTCTGCCATCCACTTGAGGTAAGCCTGCAGGTGCCAAACAGGTGCTGGGCAAAGGCCTGGCCTCGCTCCCAGGGCCACGCCAGCCCACAGGGACTCCATGGTCCTCAGGACTGGGAGAGTGGAAGTCTGGCTCCCAGCCTACTCCTGGTAGAGGTCCTGCCTCTGTGGCCTCAGGCCCTTTGAGCATTGCAGGGCTGGTCCCCCCTACCTCAATCGCCCAGTGGTCATCTCAGTGCCCCGCTGGCTGGGCTGGGTTGGGGCTCCCTGCTCAGACAGACTGCTGCACAGCGCCCGCCTGCAAGGAGCTCCTGGGGCCGGGGCCTGAGGCTACGGGTGTCGGGGCACCGCTGAGGCCGGTGGGTACATTGCGAATGTCACTGTCTCCCTTAGAGATAGACAGTGGCTCCCCCAGAGGTGGGAGGCTCAACTAAGGTCAGGATTAAGTGTGGGCAAGGATGGCAGTGTGCACCCACCTGCAGCCACACCGGCTCCCCCAGGGCCCTGCTGCCCCTGGGACACACGGAGAAGGGTTCCAGGGTATGCCTCGTTGCAGTGCCTGTCCTAGGGGCCCCTGCCTAGACCCACCTTGTATGCCTGCCGCACCCCTCCGTTGTCGGCGATGTTTTCCCCGAGTGTGCTGAACCCGTTCACCTGCACACAGGACCTGGGATGGCTGGGCAGCCCGGGGCTCCCCACCCCCGACCGCGTCCAGGAGTGGGGGAAGGCCAGGGCTGGGGGAGCGGGTCCCCGGAGGCGGCAGGGGCACTCACGTTTTGGTTGTCCGCCAGGTCCCAGGAGTAGTTCCCGTACTGGTGGACCATGCACTCCGACTGCTCCTGGAAGTGCTGGGCCGAGAAATTGCTCCACCAATCCAGCATGTTCCCATCCTTGTCAAAGTTACGGCCTGGGCAGGCACAGGTGGGCTGCCCACTCGGCCTCCCGCCTGCCACAGCCAGCCTCCCGTGCCCCCCCAGAAGCCAATATCTAGAGCTCTCATGGGAGCAGGGAGTGTGGGCCCTGAAGGGTGTCACTGCTTGATGGACTGGCACGATGTTGGAGGGCTGCTGGGAGGGGGGCTTCGGTGGTCTAGCAGCACCCCCGAGGGGAGGGTCCAGGGTTTCCAGGTTCAGAACCCCCAAGGTGCAGTGGTGTAATGACCCTTGGGGTGATGTCCAGACCCTCTGAACCCCAGGTAAGGGGGGCACACGAGGCTGCCCTCAGAAGGTCCCAGTGGTCAAGTCCTGTAGGAAAGCAGGCTCCCTGGGTTGCAGCTGGAGCCCTGGGCATAGTCATAGGCCACTAGGACCCGGCAGGGGTCCCCACCCCATAGGTGGAGGTGGGAATGTCAGGTCAGCACATCTCTGGACTGGAGAAGATGTGCTGGCTGCCCCAGAATGACACCAGGTCAGGCTCCAGGCCAGGTCCTGGAGCTTCAGAGGTACACGGGATATAGGGTCACTGTGTCCATGTCACAGGCTCAGGAAGGAATGGCCAGCAAATGGCGCACTCGAGCCCTTGCGTCCTCTCTTCCATGGCTCTACCTAGAGCAAGAGGCCTGTCTGGGGCCACGCCAGCCCTTCAGAGCTGCTCTGCCACCATAGGTTCCCTGGGCACCTGGCAAATCCTTCCCATGCCTGGGCCTCCATATCCCTACCTGCATCATGAAGGGGTTGGATGGACAGCCCCATAGCCCCTATCCCTCTGTCCCCTGTTGGGACCAGCACTCAGTGGAGAGGGGAGTGTGGGCATGTGACCTGCCGGCCTCATGCTGACCCTTCATAGGGCTTCCCTACCATTGTCGTCAAAGCCGTGGGTGATCTCATGCCCAATCACCATCCCAATGCCCCCGAAGTTCAAGGCCTGAGGCTGATGTTTGCTGAAGAATGGAGGCTGTAGGATCCCAGCAGGGAACACTGCTCGGGGGACATGGGACATGGTGGGGATGGGCTGTGAGTGAGTGTCCAGGGAGGCAGGGCTCTGACCAACCCCCCTCAAGTTCAAGGCCTGAGGCTGATGTTTGCTGAAGAAAGGAGGCTGTAGGATCCCAGTGGGAACACTGTTCAGGGGACATGGGACACTGTGGGGATGGCAGGGCTCTGACTCCCCCCCACCTCCCCCACCCCCTTCCAGCTGAGATGCGCAAGGCCAGGCCCAGCAGATCCAAGCTCTTCCCACCATCCTCTGCTGCCTCTGGGACAGGAGTCCACAGCTCCCAGAGCAGAGGACTGGCCCCACAGGTGGGGTGACGGAAGAGGCCCCCAGGAGGAAGGGGTGGGGGCTGCTGGGGGCTGGGGTCAGTCACAGAGAGGGTGAACGTACCTATTTGGTTTCGGTTCGGGGAGTAGAATGCATTAACCACGGCCGCCCCAATGATCCAGCTGTGATGAACGGGCAGGTCACCCAAGCCCGTGCCTGGGAGTCCTCCGTCCTGGCCCCCTGCTGGCTGAACGCGGCTCCCCTGCTTGGGGCCCCTGTCCCAGTGGCCATGCCATGAGACCTGTGCTGCCCACAGCCGGGCAAGGTCTGGGCAGTCCCCTGACCCTGAGCCCGAAAGTGGAAGGCACGGCGCGGCTCTGAGTCCGGCCCGGTGCCCAGCCCACTGGCTCCCACCTGCCGTCCCCACTCACAGGTTCTGGTCTACTTTCTCCCGCAGCTTCTTGAGGCTCCGCTGGGCGCCAGCCTTGAGGTTCTGGAGACCGTTTTCAAAGTACTGGTCCTCCGAGAAGTTCAGCTATGAGAGAGGGGTGGTCACTGCCGGGGGTGCAGGCAGGGCAGGGCCTTGGGACTGACCAGGCTGTCTTGCACAAGGCCAGGGGTTCTGGGTGAAGATGGGGGGGTGGGGGTGTCAATGCTGGCTCTGGGCATTTTTGCAACTCCCTCCCTCCCAACAGTAGCTTCCCCTCAGTAACAGGCAACTCAGGAGCCGCCACCCTCTGCTGCAAGGTGGCCGTATCAGTGACAGTGCCCCAGAATTGCAGGCTGATGGTTCCCAGGGCTGGCTCAGGGGCAGGGCGGGCTGGGGTAAGGGAATAGGTGAGGCTTTTGAGGGCCCCTGGCTGGGGATGGGGCGCACATTGGAGTACTCCTCGTCCAGGTGCTTGTTTCTTTCCTCCAGAATGTAGTCTGGGTACCCAATCTGCTCGCGGATGTTCATGGCCTAGGGAGGACATGGGGGCCAGTCTGTGCCTGCCCCACCACGGGAGTCCTGGCTCTGCCCCTCACTTCACTGCCATGTGGGTAAGGCGCTCAGGGACTTGGCCCCTCCTTGCAGGTTGGGGGTGAGGGGGACAGATGTGGACCAGCTCAGCCGGAGGCCGAACGTGCGCCTGACAGCCAGCCAGGGGTCTGATGGGGCAAGGGCTGGGCAGAGCGGCTCAGCTTCCATTTGTCATGCTGGCCAAGAGGGGCTATTGCTCTGAGGCTATGGCCACCCCCCACCCCTTCCCAGGGGTGCTGGCGGGTCTCCCAGACTTGGCTTCTGGTCCCACTTCTGCCCACAGCCCCTTTCTGAGCAAGCTACACCCAGCCTCGGCGGCTTCATCTCTGTGCCCCCATGCTGGGGCTGCCTTCTCCCAGCAGGAAGCCCTGACCTCAGGGCTCCGGCCACCCGCCCACCTTCTCCTGGGCCTTCTTCTTGGACTCCTCGTCCATCCAGCCCAGCTCATCCAGGGTCTCCACGAATACCGCCCGTACCTTGTCGATGAGCTCTCTGACCTGGGGGGAGTGCATGGCCCCTGTCCTGCATGACCAGCTCCGGGGTCGCTGCAGGGGTCTGGTCCAAAGCCCCGTCCCTGCTGTGGTGTTGGGGTTGGGGATGAGGAATGATCCCCACTGATACAGGGGTCCTGCCTGCTGGGCTTCCTCCTGGGTGGGCCTAGATCCTGACCACCCCTAGACTCATAGCCTATGTGACCTGTCCCTTTTCCCAGACAGGCCTGTAGGGTTGGAGGTGGGGCCTCTGGCCTCCCCATGTGATGGGGCACTGGGCAAATGTGTGCTCCCCAGAACTGCTGAGCACACACATGCTGTTGGGGGGCCCTGGGGGTTCCTACATGGGAAGCTGGGAGTCACCATGTGGGGTGTGGGGATGCATGCAGTAACCCCACCCCCACCCCCGCGTCCCACCACTGTAGGCCAGCGTCCCTGCGGGGAGGATGCACCTGGCCCTGGGCCATGGACCATGGGCAGGGGTGTGGAGCAGTCCCAGTGCCGAGCACCCACCGCGTCCTTGCTGTCTCCAGGGAAGGCCTCCCTGACGTAGAGGGAGCCCACAGCGCTCTCCATGTTGCTGTTGACGTAGCTAACACACTCTCGCCAGCGCACCTCTTCCACGGTTGTGCCGTACAGCGCCTGTGGCGGCCGGTCAGCCATTCATTCATTCACTCATTGCTGCATTTCCCAACATCTGCTTCCCTGTCCTCAGCCTCAGGGCGCCCAGGAGCCAGTGGGTGGTGGTGCACAGATTACCTCAGACTGCCCTCTGAATGCCAGCCATGGGTGTGGGCAGGACCGAGAGTACAGGTAGGATGGTTGTGGGGAGGGCTCCCAACACAGGCTCCGGGTTGGGCCTTTACCCCAGGGCAGTGGTAGGGCCCTTTTCAGTGACAAGTGCCTCCTTGGCCCCTGTTCTTGCCACCCTGGCATGACTGTCCAGCCGGATTCTGACCTTCAGGACTCCAGCCCCATCCCATAGCACAGGCTGGAGTTGACTCTGGAGGCCCTGGGGGCCATGTCCAGCTTAGCTGCAGCCACCAGTTCTCTGGGCCCCAATTTTCCCATCACCAAGGTGGAGATGCTTGGTTAGTAGTGTCTCCAACCCTACATCCCAAACCGGGGGTCCTGACTGGCCCCAAGCTGCTCTGCCACATTTTCCTGATGTGGTGGAGGACTCCTGCCTGTCCCATTTCTCTAGTGAAGAAGCACAAAGTCTCCCTGACTCCCTCACCACTCATCCCCTATATTTGTCCCTCAACTCTCCGCTGTAGGCATCTCTTTCTGCTGCCAATGCCCTGGTCCAACCGGTCACCCCATCTGGATGATGGCACTTGTCTCCACTCTGATTCCACGTCCCACTGATCATTGTCCCAGAACCACCCTCCAGATCACATGGCTTCCCAGGGGGTCCCCTGCTTCTGTCCTGATTGCACCCTACCCCCAGAGCAACCAGAGTGACCACACAAGCAGGACACCAGACTGTGGCTCCTGCTCTTAACACCCCAGTGGCTTTCACGGCACGTGGAATCTGTGCTCTGCTAAGTCCCGTGATTCCTGGCCCCCATCTCTCTCCCTGAGATCAGCTCTTTCCTCCCATTATGTGGCTCTGGGGTGGCCTTGCCTTGGGAATCTGCCCCCAGCCTCTTTGTGTCTTGGCCATTCTTGCCTCAAGGTCTCCAATGTCACCTTCGCAGAGAGAGGCTCTCCCTGTCCTGTCCCTTCCTCTTATGTCATACTTGTTGCTTTTGAAAGAGCAGATCTCCAGTTTGCCAACTGCCCCAAGAGGGCAGGTACCTTGTTAGTCTCTTTCATGGCTCTGACCCCAGTGTGAACCTTGGTCTTTGGCTCATAGTAAGTGCTCAGTGCCAAAGTCCTAGGCAAACAAATGACAGGGCAGGACAGGAGCAGCCTCTGTGTGGTCTCACTCACCTTGCGGTAGTTTGCCCGTGCATCCTTGAATCGCTGGCTCAGGCTACTAATGCGGTCCAGCACCAGGCGCCAGACCAGGTAGTTCTGCATGGTCCTGTGGGCAGGAGGCAGAGGTTGGGGTATAGAACAGGTGAGTGGTATGTACCCAGAGAGGTGATTTGGCTTATGGGTCCTTGGTCGACAGGTTCTATGCCAAGCAGGGAGCTCACTGCAAGCAAGGTGGTGGAGAAAGCCTCTAGGACAACCCCCAGATACAGCCTCTCTGTTCCTGGATGCTGGACACCTCAAGGAGGGTTCACATATCTCACTAAGGCTCTGTTGGCCACTAACATTTACCTGCTCATGCCCTTCATCCCAGAGTAAATGCTCCTGGGGTCTTTTCCAGTGAGGAGAAGCTGCAGGGGTGGGGATGGGGGTGGCAGGGATGCTGAAGCCTCTGGGGACCCTCCCTGGGCCTCACCTGGCTGAGTAGACATCGATGATTTCTTCAAGGTTCTGAAGGTAGGGGATGCCATAGACCACCACTTCTTCATCTGGCAACAGTTTGATTTTGACAGAGGACAGCACAGATTGTATGAAGAGGGTCCAGTTAAACCCCTGGGAAGGAGGGTGTGGGGAGAAAGAGGGAGAGACAGAGAGGTAGACATAGCTCCTAGGTATCTAAGAAACCAAGCTCCCACCAAAGAATATCCAGAGACTAAGAGAGAAGACACAGATGATCAGAATCAGGGAAAGGGTGAGTGACATTAGCCTACAGATGACAAATATTATGCCAATGTATTTAAAGACTTCAGTGTGGTGGAAAAATTCTTGAAAAAAAATGCAACTTAGAAGAATGACCAAAGAAGAGCAAATACAGTCTTATAGATAATAAAGATAATAAAATTATCTTTAATTTGAATTATTCCCACGTAGAAATTTCCAGACCCATCTGGTGATTCCAGTGGATGCTGACATTTAAGGAAGACATACTGCCAACCTACTCAAATTTCCCAGAGAAAAGAGAAAACTCTTCTCAATTGGATTTATGAGGCAAGAATAACTTTAATACCCAAATAAGGATATTACAAGGAAGAAGGTACATCACAGCCAACTTAGATTTATTCAAGGAATTCAAGTTTGATGTAACATTTGAAAATTGAGTCCTATAATTCACCATGATAACTGGATAAAGCAGGAAAATCACATCCTAATTTTAATGGTTGCAGAAAGAAAGACATTAAATAAATTTTGCCATCTGTTCATGATAAAAACGCTTAGCAAACTAGAAAATAGGAGGTAAATTCAATAATCTGATGAAGGGAATTTGCATACAACAGCAGCAACAACAGAAACAAACATGTCCACAGAAAACATAAAGACGGTGAAATGTTGCAGGCTTATAGAAACAAGCTGTCTACTATTCTGATGTTAGCACTGTGTTGAGTGTCCCTGCCAGTCCAGTAGGACAAGTAAGTGAAATAAAATCAGTAAGGGTTGGAAAGGGAAGAAATAAAACCCATTGCTCACAAAGGACATGATTTCATGTGCATAAAATCTGAAAGGACCTATAGATAACCTATCAGAACTAATATGTGCACTGAGTAAAATAGCTGTATATGAGGTCAGAATCTATGCTAGCAACAAAGAACATGAAGATACACTATGAAATGGGGCCCTTCATATCAATATAAAACAAAACCAAACGGCTAAGAATAAATCTAGTGGAAGATATATAAAGCATCTTAAGGGGACGTTTCATACATTGCTGTTGGGGACAGCAACTCTACAATGATTCAGAGGAAAAGGTTTGGTGTTATCTGTTAAAGTTGAACGTATGTGTGTTCTGTGACCTGGCCATCTCATTCCTAGGTGGATACCCAACAGCAGTGCACCTCAAAAGACATGCACAAGAATGAGCATAGCCACATTATTCAGAAGATTCCAGACGTGGAATCTGGATCTGACCCAGAGGCCTAACAAGAGTACGGCAGGGGCATAACTGTTGCATGTTCTCAGAGTGGATTGTACAGCAGTCAGGAGTGAAAGCTTGCACGATGCCCAGCGAGACGGGGTATAATGACGGTGAGATGTAGTCTCACCTACAAAACATAGAACAAGAGAAGCCTTGTGCAAGTGAGCGAACTGTCTGGTTCTGATGTTGTGTCTTGTGGTGGGAGAAGTCAGGGTGGTGGCTGCTTCAGGGGAGGGCAGGGGAAGAGCCCCAAGGAGGGGTGTCCATCGTGGCTCAGGTGCTGATCTGAGTACGGGCTGTGTGCACATGCTCATGCGGAGGCAAGTCTAAGCACTGTAAAAGCATTATGCACCAGACGCCCCAAAGCCTGGCTTCCGGGCCATTCCCGGGGCTGCTTCTGCACCATCTCTGTGGTTTGGCACGCGCAGGCCATCGGAGTGCTCTTTCTTCACTTTACATGTTTAGCACATCTATAGATCCTGTGGCTCTACCTTCCAAATAGATCCAGAGGCTACCCCTCTCTCCATGTCTGCTAACACTTGTCCTCAGCTGCCACCATTTCCTGCCTGGGCCATGCTGCAGCCTGGACCTCAGTGTGAGCCAAGTCTATGCCCCAAGCCCCTCCACGCAGCATCAAGGCCAGTGCCCTGGAGTTCAGCCCCGCCCCCCTTCGCCTCCTGGGCCTCATCTGCCCTCCAGCTGCCTTGCAGCTCCTGCCTCAGGACCTTGGCCTCTGCTGCCCCTCTGTTTGGGCTGCTTGCCCCAGACGGCCTCTCCTCCAAGACTTCTCCTGCACCTCAGCTTCGCGGTGGGCCACTCCTGGCTGCCATGGTCCCACCCTCTCCCAGCTTTCTGACACATTCCGCAGGTCCCGCTCTTTCTCACTCCTGGCCCGTATGGCAGCACAGACGCAAGGTGGGAGGTGCCTGCTTCGGTCACAGATGCAGCCAGTGCCAGGGCAGGGCCTGGCCCCTAACATGCCTGCTGCAGGATGGGTCAGTTGTTGGGCTGTGTCGAGGTGGGGGCCACAGTGGGCCACCACTGGGAGCCAGTGCCAAGGAAGAGGGCAGGATCCAGGGACCACAGAGCCTTCTGGAATACTGAGTGCTGTGCACCCTGGGCAAGAGTCTCCCTGAGTTTTCCTGTTTTGTTCTATGGCTCTGGACACTTGCATTTTCTGGTCAGGAGTTAGGAGCTTTAGCTTCTATCCCTACCCCTCCCCTTCACCTTCTGACTTTGGCTCTGTCCTTGCCTACCTGCTCTGCCTTTTGATTTGGACCTTGGTTGTAAAGCTGGTGTGGCTAGACCGCATTTCTGCCCCTCATGCAGGGAGGCTCTTGGAGGAGTCAGATACTTAAGAAGTCAGCTCGCTGAGTTTGGGGGTAGAGGGTGCTCACCCTCCATTCTTTGTTGCTAGGAGGGTCCTCTCTTTGGTCCAGGCTACTCCTTCTCTGCCCCCAGACCCTGAGCATAAGTCCTGGCCAGCAGGAAGGGAGGGCCTGAGGGTCTGGTGGTGTGGAGTAGCCTTGAGTCTGGGGTGGGCAGATCCGGGGGGCAGACTTGGGGACAGAGTGCCCTGGCGGGGGGGTCTCTCTGGCTCTGGGTAATCAGCAACCCCTCCTGGATAGTTTCCTGCTCAGAACAGTGGGGTCATTGCTACAGCCATCTCACAGATGGGATCCAGTTGGCAGCTGCTGCCCCAGTGTGAGTGTGTGCTTGTATGCTTGTGCAGGTGCACGCCTAGGTATACCCCTGAGGCTTGACAGAGGCAGGGCCATGTGGGGGGTGAGGACTTACCTTCAGGCTAAACTTGCTCTGGAGTTCCTTCAGGCCCATCCTATGATATAGGGCAGTGACATCGTGCCTCTCCTCCTGGGGGGCCGTGGCCTGCACAGGGGAGAGGGCAGGTGGTCATACTGGGTAAGGAGCAGCCGGGGCCCAGGGTCCCTGCTCCCACACTTGGGCCATGGCCTCACATTTGCCAGCCGCGTCTCCAGCTCCAGCACCTGCACCATGTCCTCCTGCACCAGGTAGCTGTTCTCTGGGAGGTTCATGTCTGCCCGCAGCATCATGGCCACTGACATCATGAACTGCAGGTAGGCTTCCCGCACCTGCACCAAAGGAGGCAGAACAGAGTCTGGCGGCCTCGGCCACCTTGGCCCTATGGAGCTCTCTGTGGGGTGGGGGTGGGTGTATGACATGAAGCAGCCCACCAGGATGCTCACGGGGCCAGTCTCAGCTAGCAGGTGATGGCAGGGCCCAGGGAGCCCCGGGATGGGGCCCTCCAGACTGTCTGTACCCTCCCAGGCTGGGGCCTCAGCTGCCGCTCGCACTCCTGGACAAGCCTGCATGGGAGCCAGAGCTCTGGGCAGAGGAGGCTTGCTTCCTCCAACCTTCCCTGTGTGTTTGGCTATAGGTGAAGCCATGCCCAACAGCTCAGAGCTGCACTCCCCGCTCCATTGCTTCCAGGCACTTCACCCCATGCACCTGGGCTCCTGCAGGACCAGAGGCCTATTCTGCTGTCTGTGTGGTCTTGGATAAAGTGCTGGGCGCACACAGGTGTGTGTAAAGGTCCAGGGCTGGTCTGGGGCTGTCGGGTGCACTGCCCCAGTCAGGCTTGCCTCAGCCTGAGGCTCAGGAAGTGGGTCTCAACAATGTACACCCCTCCTGGACTTGCTTTCCCCATGCCCCATCCTGGGGGGGGCTCCCTCATGGCAGGCAGGAGCCACGGGGGCCACCTCCTCCAGCATCAGGCAGGCAGACACTTGGGGCTGGGCTGGCCTGTAGTTGCCTGGTCTGGTCCATTGCTGCCCGGCATGAGACTGCCCAGATGCTGCATCCCTGCCACTGCCTGGTTTGGTTTTCTCAGTTCTACTACCCCACCCTGGGACTCCTTCCATCAGCCACACTGGCTTTTCTCCTGTCTGGACCCATTCTTCACAGCCTAGCTCATAGCCTGCCTCCACCAGGAGGCCCACTGCACTGCTTCCTCACAGTGGGTCATTTCACAGCTTCCATCTGTCACAGACTGCTCCACAGCTCTTCCTCCTACTTGGCTTGCCCCTGCTTGGCTCCTTGTCTCTCTCCTCCCTGGGTGCAGGAGCAGGATGGTTAAGAGAGCAATCTCTGGGCTCAGGTGGTCTGTGCTTGGATCTTAGCAGGCCCTACGTGGCAGCCCTGCACTGCAGGGCGGGGATGCAGGGTATGGCCCTCGGGACTACAGGCAGAGCTGAGCCTGACCCCACATGTGGCACGGGGTATCTGGGGACAGTCCCTTTCGTGATGTCAAAGGCCATGCTAAGCTTGTCAGCAGCCTCGGAGCCCCCTGTCCATGCTCTCAGAGGCTAGCTGTGGGCCACAAGGGTCAAGGGGTCGCCAGGGGAAAGGATCACGGGGGGGGGGGCGGCGGGGCCCACAAGCGACAAGTGAGAAAGGCCGGGCTGAGGGGCAGGCAGGAAAGCATTGGGGCCAGGGACCAGCCTGACTTACCTTCTGGTTGCTGCCCTCGTTGAAATAGTACTCTCTGGATGGCATGCCCAAGGTGGGCTGGTCTATCTGGAGACACAGAGGGTGTGAACCCCGGGCAAGGAGCCGAGGCCCCACAGCCTGGCTGAGGAGGACAGCAGCTCTCTCCATTCCCCGTAAACTGTGCCCAGTGGAAACACGGGATCCTCTGGGAAGGGGGACGCACCACTGTGTGCAGGCCCTGGCTCCCCCACCCAGCCCTGCTCTGTGACAGGCGGAGGGCTGTGGGGGCTCACCTGAGGGGGTGCTGGGCTACCTGCACAGCCTCATGGCACCCTTGCCGTCCCAGAAAGATGTGGCCTAGCCATGGCCAGTGGCAGCTTTCTGAGGCCAGTATTCCTGCCCTGGTGCCAAAGGCCCAGCCAGACGGTCCTGAGGAAGCGGCTTGGCCCACAGGCCAGCTCCCCTGACCTGACCCGTTTCGTCGGGTGGCAGGTGTCTGTGAGCAGGTCACAGGAGCAGGGCCCTGGGAACACCCCTAGAGCTCCTCCAACCCCCCAACCCCAGCCATGGCCGGCCCTCCACTGCCCTGCGAGCACCCCCAGCGGGGCACGAGGGACCCAGCCTAACTCGGACCCCGGTGCCCCTCGTACGTAGATGATATGCCGGCTAGAATTCTGGTCATCGTTCCAGATGAAGAGGTCAATGAGGACACGCCTGTTGAACTGTGTGTTCATCAAGGCCAGCTGCTGCTCCAGCTCCCACTTGGGGCCTGGGGAGTCAGTGCCTCGGGCTGGAGAGCAACCAGGCCCTCGTCTGAGAGTCCATCCCAGTCTCCAGAACCCAGAATGCGAGAGGCATCGGGGCCCCCGCCAGGCTCATGGTGGCAAGCATGCTTGGGGGTCCCTGGGAACAGTCCACCTGGGGCACCTGGCAGCCTCTCCCCCACCTGGGGGGTCTGGAAGGGTTACCCTCTGTAGCAGTGGGGCATCCAGCCATGGGAGCCCACTGGCAGCTGGTACACGCTTGCCAGCATGAGCCTCCAAGGGCTTGGCTACAAGGAACCTCGGGGGTGTCCACCTGTCTGCAAGGTGAGGCAGCCACCAGGCCCTGGCCTTACCTACGCTCTGGTTCCACTTATCCATGGTCACTGGCCAGCCTCCCATCACGTCCAGGATGTTTAGCAGGGGCTGTGAGTCTCGTTTCTCTATCACGCCTGAGAGGAAAGGAGGGGTCACTCACCCAGATGCCCAGTGGGGGTGGCATCCACCTTCCCACAGACCTGCAGGGACACTGCAAGCCCGACCCCATCAGACGGTGCAGCTGTGACAGGGTCTGGGGTGGGTGGAAGCAGATGGGCTGGCAGGTCACAGAGTGTGGGAGGGGGCCAGTAGGCCAGCCTGGGGGGCCCTGTGGCTTGGGAGTGCTCCCTGGGGTGCCCAGTGGGTGTTGTGGGCAGGGGACGGGGTAGAGGAGCTCCATCCGGCATGGGGCTGACCGAGCCCTCTGGAAGAATGGGAACAGCTCCTCCAGGGCAGCGATGCTTCCATACTTCAGCAGGGAGTTTTGGAACTTCAGTCAAAAATAAGGTGAAGGGGTGGAGGGGGAGACAGGGGCTGCGAGGTGGGATCCTCACTGTTTTCCTCCTGCTTGGATACTGTGGCCCACGGCTGGGGTCAGTGTGTCAATAGGATGACAGGGAGCCAGCAGTAAGTCTGAGTCCTCAGGGGAGGCTGCACCCAGTGGTCAGGTGGGAGCACAGCCCCTCTGGCCTGATTCCTGAGTGGCATCCACTGCTTTGTGCTGTGCTGCAGGGGCTGTGGGTCCTGGAGCTGCCCTCCCCACCCCCACTCCACTCACTCTCGTTCATGCAGGAGCGGTACAGCATCTTGGCCTTCTGCACAGCCGGCCTGTCCTGGGCGGTGGCATTCTCTAGCACCCCTGTGGGCAGAGGGGAAGCTGGATGGAGGCCCGAGGCAGCTGCTGGGAGAGCCAGGTCAAAGCACCCAGCACCGCCCCCCACAACATTCAGCAAGAGGTGGTCCCTCTTCCCCGGCTGGGCACTGTGCCCACTGGATCAGGGCGGGCCCAGCAGCCCGGCCCCACTGGCCCTACTGGCCTCATGGCCACCCCTGAGCCAGGCAGGTACTTGGCCTAATCCCACCTCCACCCCCAAGGTCGCAGCTGCTCTCACCTTTGAGGATCACCTCCAGCTCGTCTCGGAGGATGTCAAAGACGCTGTATCGGGAGTTGGTCTCGGGGATCACGTGGCGCCGCAGCCAGCCTCCGCATGCGTACTGGTAGAAGTCCTCACAGGGCTCCCTGGATGGGTCCATGTTCTGGAGGATCCTGGAGGCTGCTCGTGGGGACGGGTGGAGAGGGAGGGGGGCACCCGGTTATGGGCAGCTGATGGACTATTAGATTTTCCGTCACAGCTGTGTGCCCTTGGGAGTGTTAATCACCCTCTCTGAGCCTCAGGGAGGTCAGAGGCAAGGGTGCAAGTTCTAGGGCTATGACTCATTAGCCGCATGACCTGGAATCCCGTGACTGTCCTGCCCTTCACTTCCACATTTGCAAACCTGGGACGCCAGCAGTCTGGAGGCAGGCAATGACCAGGACTGCCCTGCTCCCAGAGCCCACTCACTGTGGGGTGGAGGGCGGTTCTTATCCTCCACTCAGGGTTTGTCTGCAGTTAGAGAGGATGGCTTTGCCCCCAGCACCCCAAGTGTGCAGGGTCAGTGGGGTCTAGGGTTCCCACTGAGGACTCTCAGCCACGGTGGATGCCCCCCCCACCTTCCAAGCTGGGACCCTCCTTCGTTTCTGTCCCACTTGGCTGCGGCCTGGCAGGAAGCACCAGCATGGAGTGCCCGTCCATGCCTGTTTGCACCCCCAATGTGGGCAGAAAAAAAATCTCATTTCTTAGTTTTCACTGTTGGTCCTTCATTCTTTTAGTCTGCAAATAGCAGCACATGGACTCCAATTTTATGACAAATTCGTGGGAGGATGCTCGTATGTTCATGTGACTTTTCTGTAACTGTAGGAAGGAGACCCTGTAGCGGATTACCATCCTTCTCCTCACAGGGACCTCCACCGGGGCAGGGTGGCTGCCTGGGGGGCACACCAGCTTTCCTCACCCACTGCAGAGACCCCACCTGCAGGCAGGGTTAGGATCTGCCCACCATTCCCCATGCCACATCTTGAAGTGGCTCCCTTTGAGGGTGGGGGGCCCTGCGCTAGCATCCCGGGAGCCTTCCCCTCCCTGGCAGGGCTGCAGAAGTGTGGGGAAGGGGGCTTACCCGCTATCACACAGCCAGGGGTGGTGCAGATTTCGCCCATCTCCTTGGGCTCTTGGATGGCTGTAGGCAAGACATGGTGTGAGCCAGTGGCGAGGTGGAGTAGGATGGGGTGCAGCGGGGGAGTCGTCTGGGGTAGGCAGGGCCAGGCCTCAAACCCCTAGCCCCGGGGAGGTGGTGGGAAGTCCAGCCTGGGGCCCTGAAGGCACGTCCTCCCCAGGAGACCCAGGATTGGGGCCTTATGTAAGGGTGAGCCTCACGCTGGCTTAACCCTGCTGTGACCTGGGAGTCTCCTTACACCCTCTGCCTCCACTGACTCCCATAGCTGCCCTAGGTCCCCAAGACTGAAGCTGGCCATTCTACTGTCCTGCCTACTGCCAGCCAGCTCTCGCCCCTGCCACCTCCTCCAGGCAGCCTGCCTGTGCTGCTCACCTCTGCACACTGTGCCCCCCACCCCAACCCTCCTACCTGGAACTAGCTGGTTGTATAAATGTGCACCTGCCTGGTCTCAGGGACAGTGCCTCCAGCCTGGAGTGTAGGATCACTCATGCTTGTATCCCAAAGGTGTCCCAGGGAACATCCTGCTTCTAGCAGGTGCTCATGGCTGTATCCCTGCCACTGTGCTGTCTTTCTATGGGACTCTGGGTACCTGGGGCAGGGTTCCATTACCTAGCTTCACACCCTGGGCTGCCCTGAATCACCCAGCCCACAGGGGGCCCAGTTCCAGCCCACTGCTTGGGCTTGTTTTGAGAGGGAAGGCAAAGCTACCTCGGGGTTTTCGTTTTACAATGGTCTTCTCTTCCTTTGAGAAGCAAAGCCGGCTAGGAAAGAGTGTCAGCTGCTTCCCTGGGGAGAAACACAGCACTCAGCTCTCTGCCTCCAGCCCCCTCCTGGGGCACCTTGGGGCTCGCTGGGGACAACCCTGACATTTTCCTGCAGGGTCGGGGTCCAGGGCACTCTGGGGGCTGCCTGCCTCCTGTAGCCAGGCCTGGTCATCAGGATCACCCAGCAGAACTTCTCTCTTGCCCACCCCACCACTCTCTGCCCTACCCCCATCTTCCAGGGCCCAGAGGATTCCTGAGAGGGACCTCCTTCCCTTCTGACCTCCTCTTTGATCTAAGGGTCATGGGCCACACCCATGCAAGGTGGGCAGCTCCTGACCTCCTACCAAGGCAGGAACAATAGGCTCATTTAAGAGGAGAGGATGTCACTTTTACTTTCTGACTCATGGGCCACCTTTCCTCCAACCCTCCTCTGCACAGGATGGGGGCATTGTTTGGTCAGCATTGGGATCTTCCAGGCGGTTGTCAATTCTACCTGGAGTGGGGGTGGGGAAGGGGTGAGGCGGAGGGATGGGAGAGAGTCACATCCAGGCGGAGGGCTTGCCACGTCTGGCCACCTACAGACCTGGCTTGTGGCTGGGTTTCTCCACCAGGCAGGCACATGGAGACCTGGTGGGAAGGAGGGAATGGGGCCTCATGCAGGTCAGAGACTGAAGAGGGTGCAGGAGGCTCCCCAAATGTTGGGTTCTCCCTGGGCTCCCCGGCAATTGGGAGTAGCGTTTATGAAACGTGGTGTCTGGAGTGGGTGGGCAGGGGCATTTCTCTTCTACCTGTTGTCGCAGCTCTTTCCATCTACCATTTGTTCGTCCATCAGTCCAACAACTTTGGTTGATTATTGTAAGCCAGTCTCAGTGCCAGGCACTGAAGATTCTGATATGAGCCCGACAGGGGCCCCGCCTCAGAAAGCCCCAACCCCGCGAGGAAACAACAGAACAGTGCTGGTCGGACCCAGAAATGATGTGGGTTCATGGGTGCTAAGACATGGCTGTCCTGCTGGTGTTTGTCAAGCTCATTAATCCGGAGCCCTGGGATGAGAACTAGACCTTGGACCCTGAAGGGCCATGCCCTCAGGGACAGAGGACAGGAAGGACATGACAAGGAGAAGGGGTTTTTGCTTCTGATCAGGATAAAGAAATTGAAGGTGACCATGGCTCCCTCCCCAGGGAGGAGAATGAGCTGCACATCCAAGAACACGGGGGTTTGCAGAAACCTGCCTGAGCACTGCAGGCAGGAACCTATGGAGTGAGATCCTGGACAGGGAGATGCCCTCCCCAGAAAGAAGGGCCTGTGGTGGCCTTCCCCTGGGCACCGAGGCTCCGGGAGGCTAGTTCTCCACAAAAGGGCTTGAAGTGGGAGGAATGGGTGAGGGTGGAGCCTGTGAGCTGGTGCCAGGGATCCAGCTCCATGCAGTGCACCCACCCACCAGATCCTCCTCATGGGGCATCCCCAGGTCATGGGCAGGGCAGGAAAGCCGAGAGAAGCCCCCCCCCACAAGAAGAAGTAGGCAAACGTGACACATCATTAAGAAAAACCCAAAAGAGTCCAAAGATATGGGCTTGGGTGACCTGACATCACAGTCAGCAAACGAAACATTTAGTGGTTATGAGGATTAAGTTATAAGGTCTGGTACAAAAGGCAGGAAGTGGACGTAGTTTGTGGTGAATATCACCAGAGAAACGAAAATGTTAAGAAAGAGCAGAAGTGAAGAATTGGGTTTACAGGCTTTACCACACCCCCAACCTGCCTAAGAAAGAAGCTGCAGACTACAGCACAAAGGAAAGAGACAAAATAGAATAGAGGAAAACATCCACAAATCCCAAAATGGTGCAGCCACCCTGGAAGCCAGTTTGGGAGGTTCTTACAGAACTAAACACAGTCTTTACAATACGATCCTGCAATTCTGCTCCTGTGTTTCCCCAATTGGTTCAAAAATTCATCTCCACACAAAAACCCAAAAGTGAATTTTATAGCAGGTTTTTTTTTCTGTTTGTAATTCCAAAAAACTAGAAGCAACCATGATGCCCTTCAATGGAGTAATGAATAAGTAAACTATTACGTCCATACAATGGCATTATTATTGAGCAATAAAAAGAAAGAACCGATCAAGCCCCAAAAAGACAAATGGATGAATCCTAAGCGTATATTACTGAGTGCAGAAGCCATCTGAAAAAGCTGCATTCAGCATGATTCCAGTTAGACGACAGTCTGAAAGAACAAGAGCAGAGATGTAGTAGACAATGATCGCCAGGCGTTTGGCAGGGGCGCGGAGTAGCGGAGCTGGATGTAGAACAGAGGAGCACAGGGCAGATTCCCAGGCAGAAAGGGTGGCCAGCCTAAGTCACCTTGGCAATGAATTGTGTGTAAGACCCAAGGCGGAGGAACTGTCCATCAGTGCTGTCCTGTAGTTGGGGAGCTTGTCCCCTGGAATGCATGACATGACTATTTGGATTGAGGGAGTACAGAGGGGCTGGCAGATGGCCGGGCTCGTCACCGCTGCGGTGGGATGTTAGACGGGCCACGGCAGCAGGCTGGAAGGATGCATGTGGTAACGGATTAGAGGCTCCTGTTTAGCCCTGATATAGACACAGAGGATTGCATACAGAAGCGCTACAGATAACATGTACACATGTGGGTTAGCGCGCACACATGTCCTCTATCAGCCACGACCCAGGAGCAAGGATCACACCTAGTAACCCGAGTATGCTTCTAACACTGTCGCCCAAACAAAGGAACCAGGGATCCTTGGAGAAATAGTGGGGACAAAATACACAAGGTAAGCCTGAAACAACTCAAAAGGCTAGAAAGCAAAAAAAGTGTTCCCCTTTCCTCCAAAATCCCAAAGCCACAGGGCTGGGAGTATGTCAGGGGGTGCAGAAGCCACCTGGTGGAGCTCCCAGGGGCCACCGTTGGAACAGTTTGAACAACAAAATAAATTAGTATTGGATTATAATCTGAAGTATAAAATAAATATCCGTGAGTCCATGCTGACATAAATTAATCATGGAGAAAACAAATAAATGGGGGGAAATAGATAAATCCCTCATACAGAAGAATTCCAAATAGTTCATGCAGGTGCTCTGCCTCTCTGGACATGGATTCTAACTCCCCACCCCTTGGATGAGGGCTGCCCATGGTGACTGCCTTTCGATGGGGACAGGATGGAAAGTGACGGGCAGAGTAACTTTATGGTGGAGAAGCCTGACCAACACCATGTGCTCAACCACGACATGGTCAACAACAGTGGTGAGTCACTGGATGTATGTCCCCCTGACTTACGGGCTTCCTTCCCTAAACACCTCACCCCAGTCCAACCATGAGAAAAACATCAGACAAATCCCATCTGAGGGACAGTCTACAGAATAGGGGGAGCCAGGGTCTCTCAAAACTACCAGGATCATAAAAACAAGTCTGAGAAACCATTACAGTCACGAGTAGCCCAAGGAGATCTGACAAATGACGTCATGTGGTGGTGTCCTGTAGGATCCGGGGGCAGAACAGGACCAGAGGGAAGGACAGAGGAAATCTGAATAGAGTGTAGCCTTAGTTAATGGTCATGTAGCAAGGTTCGTTCACTACTTGCAATAATGTATCCTAGTGAGTCACAGGATGTTGACTGGGGATGATGGGAAAGATGGTGTGGCCCAAGTGGTGCACTGCACTATCTTCATAAGGCTGTTCTAAAAAAATGTTTTTTAAAGATTTTATTTATTTATTTGATGACAGACAAAGAGAGCATGCGTGCATGAGCAGGTGTAGGGGCAGAGGGAGAGGGAGAAGTAGAGTCCCCTCCCCACTGAGCAGGGCACCTGATTCAGGACTCAATCCCAGGACTCTGAGATCTGGATCTGAACTGAAGGAAGATGCTTCACCTTCTGAGCCACCCAGGTGCCCCTAAAAATTTTTTTAAATTACTTTAAAACATCTAGAACAGAGGATCTTGGTACCATCGGAATTTATTCTTTTATTATTATTATTATTTTAAATTTTTATTTATTTATGATAGTCACACACACACACACACACAGAGCGGGGGGGGGGGCAGAGACATAGGCAGAGGGAGAAGCAGGCTCCATGCACCGGGAGCCCGACGTGGGATTCGATCCGGGTCTCCAGGATCGCGCCCTGGGACAAAGGCAGGCGCCAAACCGCTGCGCCACCCAGGGATCCCTTATTCTTTTATTATTATAGAGGAGGGAGAGAGGTAGAAATAATGTTAGCAGACTCCACGCAGCACAGAGCCCACCATGACCCTGAGATTGTGACCTGAGCCGAAATCAAGAGTCAGACACTTAACTGACTGAGCCCCCCAGAGGCCCCAATTATTAACTGGAGAACAAAACAGTGAGGCTCTTTTGACACAAAGGCTGAGTAGAAACGAAGACTCCTCTAATGCTTAAACAGGACCAGCAGGAGACACAGCAAACCGACCCCAACAAAGATCTGTTCCCCCTTTGTAATTCCAGAAGGGAGTAGCTTTCCGTACTACACAACTGATGTAGAATCCACTCTCTGGTCTTTTATATTTGTTCACATAACTTCTGTAACATGTGGATTATTTTCACAGAGTCTCTACATTAAAAAAATATTCTGAAAAAAATGTTTTTTGACATTTTTGTCTGTAAGTTTTGCTTTTCTAAAGGTTGACCTTGATTTGAATGATTTATGTTCCCTCGCTGTGTCTATCTGTCCCGAAAAAGAAGGCTATAGAAATCTTGGTCACGTGGAAAACAACCCTCCTCCCTGGAGAGCATTGTGAGCTCAGGCTGGCTGTCATGCGGGTATGGGTATGAGTTCACATGACGATGTGGCCAAGGAAACCTCAAGCTGAGACACTCATTTTAAGCAGGCACAGGCTGGTGGCCTCCCCAGATGCCTGATGGAAAGAAACACATGTTCTCTGGAGGGAAGGTGCTTGGCCCGAGAGACACGGGGTCCCCACAGATGAAGCAGGGCGAGATGGATTCATGCTGATGAAAAGACCAGCTTCCATGAGTGTGCAAAACA